TATGTTCAACTCAAAATGGAAGTGCTGTATCTACTATTAAAAGTATTGTGAAATAATAATAACTTATAATCTATCAAGGGGTCACGAGGGTCGGTGGGGGAATAAAGAGGAGCTGATACCAAGGACTCAATAGAAACTATTTATCTAGGAAAGAATGATGGCAGCATATGTACAAATAGGCCTGATAAAATTGATGTATGGATTATAATAGTTGTGAGAGCCCCAATTAAATGATCTTTTAATTAATATAAATAAATTGAAGTGTTGTGATTTGAGACTAGCATTAAATGATCTATATGATATTTGGAGATGAACATTTTCCCTTAGAAGATAAAAGAAAAATTTTAGAAAGAGGAAAAATAAAACTGAAATAGACTTGGAGTCTTTAGTGACAAACAAGTTCATCTCAAATCCAAGAGAAGATAAATCTAAGAGAATTAGACAAACATATTTAATTTGAAGACCTTTGGGTCCCTTGATGGGTACAAAAAACCATGCATTGTGATGATTGATTTAATTGCTTTTGTGTTGCTTATTGTGTTAATCTTGGATCTCCTATAAGAATTCTGATAAAGGCACACAGAGAATTTTTTTTTTTTGGCATCATCACAATGCAGTTGCTCACTCATGGAAAGCAAGGGCTGACCTGGGAGAATGTGATTGGGAAATCTTATCCCATCGGCCCCGACCTTGCCCCTTCAGAATTTTTGTTCCCCAAACTCTAAAAATATTGAAAAGGAACTTGGTTTAAATTCCTTGAGGATGCCAAACCTACTGTTCAGATATGGCATCAAAGAGCATAGAATTCTTCAAGGAAGGGATAGAGAGCTGGAAGTATCCTGAGCATAGTGAATATTTTCTGTTGTCAGTTTTACGTGAGGATTTGACCATGTCTTTGTGATTATAGTGAATTAGGCTGCTGAATTAGGTAGTAAGATACTTGATTTTTATTCCTCATTCCTCTCTTGTAAAGAAATCCCCTAACACTTTGAACACTAATTTCTTTATCTATAAAATGTATTCCTCTGTTGGAGAAAACAAAATGTCCCAGTTCATTTAAAAACCTTTTAAGGGATCTGACAATGTGCACTGTGAGTCATCTGAGACTTCAAAATTAATCATTCCTTTGTGGAGACTATCCTTGCAAGTGAAAATCCTTGAGCTTGAAAAAATGAAAAAATAAAGAGTAGTTTTCAGAAAACATAAAACTCATTGAAAACACACGCTAATGAAAGCCCACCTCCCAGCTCCCACTACCATGACTCGAATTCTATCTTGCAAGACTGGCTAGACCAGAGGAGGTACACTGGTACAGATGGGGACTGAAAATACAGGGAGTCCAGGACGGATGAGCCCTATAGGACCAGTGGTGTGAGTGGCAAAACA